TCTTTCGCCTCCTCGACTTTCATTACCCTTTTGATACATGCGCACCAGTTTTTATAGCTTCTAACATTACATTTCATCATCATCATCATCAACAGGCCTTTTACGTTCTCACTGCAGGGGCTCAAGCCTTCCTTATGGATGATTAAGAAGGATGGGTCATGATCCTCTATGCTGGCCCAAGGGTATTAACGACTGCAAATGTAGCCGGGACCATCGGCTTAACGTGCCTTCCGAAGCACGGAGTAACCCGAGATAATAATTATTTGGTCACCCATCCCGTGTCCGACCCTTGAGAAAGTTGCTTAACGACAACGATCGCGGGCCTCGGCGCTTATCCACTACGCCACCGAGCTACTAACATAACATATGATCGTGAAATATGCGTCTTGGGTCTTTCGCAACTTTTACTTTCTTCAGCTTTCGCATTGTATATCAGTTACACAATTATATAAAAGATTTCTCTGGCATTTAGTTTCATAAAGCCAAAGAACTTGTTTCCTATAAAGAACGATTAGATTATTTCTAACTCTAAAGCTTAAAACACCGTAGAGTAATAACAAATCTAACATTTTTGTAAACTAACTAAACTAAACTAACTAATGGTCAATTGGACTCTACTTTTATAAATAGGAAATCGGATTTAATACTTCCTACAAACTACCACGTCGTTCTAAATATAATTTGACTACAACAAAAATGTTTAAAAGTAATTTAGGTTACTTTTCATCAGTTAACCGTATCCAAAAATATACAATTTTTGATAAGATCTCTAGAGACAATAATCTTGACATATTCTCTAAACCGGGTACTTTTATTTCCTATTCACCGCAATCTTCACCAGTAAGAACGAATTTTTGTTCCATTCCAAAATGCCGTATCGTAGGGCTGTGTAGTTGTTGTGGTTATAGTGGATAAAGTTATCCTTGGTCATGGCAACAGCATCAGTGAATTAGATACGAATCCGAGACAAAATGTTGTCATGCATCTTTTTATGGAATCTCATTTTTCTTAAGAAGTCCGTTTTCATTACGAATGCGGTCTACAACCATTACATTGCTAATTCATTGCATCTCGATTGCGTTTCACATATACTTTTTCAATTTAAATATCTAAAAATAATAACATCAAATACCAGTTTTCAATTGAACGAAAACCTGCGAGAATCATATGATTCACAGATTTCAAAAATTACCGGATTAAGAATAGCCGAAGTTTGCCGAAGTTAATTTTGAGGGCAGTTATAACTTAAACGATCTTTCAATACTAAAAATCATATACCAATATTTATCTCTTATCTCAATGTACTTATCGTTATTTATTTTTAATGAATCTTTAAAATCGTAAGTATGGATGGATATAAAAATAACTATTAATAAAATAAAATAACTAATCAATTGTAAATTTATAAAAAAAATATTACTCCTCTCTTCGTTGTTTAACTTATAGTAATAACAGTGAGAAAGAAAAATGACAATTGTCCCAAGAGTGCACGCAATAGAACTTTGATATTTTATCGAACTTTTGCCAGCTAGACATCTACTTAGATATTTAGTTGGTTTTGTAAATAATGCCTATCATTAGATTAGAATCAGCCAAATTATAAATAGATTGAAAATAAATAACAAGTGAAGATCGAAAATGTTTCCTCATTATTTTTCATTAATTCGTTTTTTGTGAGTTTTCAATGAGGTAAGGATGTAGATATTAACAAACTATTTTGAAGTCCGGCTGGAAAATGTCAAGTCATCACGCATTTGGTCCCGATGTCTAATATTCTGATTTTTATTAATGTCTTTCTCTTCGGTTTTCTTTAGTATTTGTGAAGTCTACATAACAAAGAGAAGAATTGCTAAAACTATTTTTTGATCAAAAGTATGTCACTATCACAATTTTAACAGCAACCTAAGACCTTAAAACATCGAATAAAATTACGCATATGCGCCATAGTTTAAATATTAATTAACTAAAATAATTTCATGTAAAAAGCGAATAAACTTTTCCCAGTATAAAATAATTGTTTCATAAGCAAACAAAACATCGTTAAATCCTATATTTATCTATATAACATTACAAAAATTCACACTTTAAAAACTAAAATAGCTGTTTCATTGCCCTACTGCCCTGGAATATCACTAATAGCACGACCACTCTACTTTAATTATCTTTTAGCATCTCGACACTCTATTTTAACAATCAGGAATACGTAATAAATACACGTTATTGTTTATGTAAACAAATAAGGCTGAAATTCGAAATTTAATTGAAAGGAAAAGGTATTTTAATTTTCTGAAGTAAGGAAAAGACAGAAAATAAGGCTAACAAAGCAAACATATTAACTTTTTATTAAATAAGTCTTGTAAGGCTTAGGACTTAATTATATCTCCTCTTTCTTCACCAGTGCGAGCTGCTCACCCACTTCCATTGACATTCAGCATAATGATGACTTGAGTGACCACGGACTGGTCATTGTTGAATTCAATCTTAAGATCCAAAAACCACAACCACGTTTTGTTATATATAGGCCTTTGATTGATAACGCAGTCGCTATCACTAACTGGGCCCGGTACACCCCCTGGGATTTAATTATGTCTTACACAGATATCAATATAATGGTAAATACTTTTAACTTTTTAATGATGGATTTGATTAACACATTTGCTCCCACCAAAATTCTTCGGGTCAAGTCTCCACCGTACCCGTGGATGACAGACACCCTAAGAGTGCTTACGAGATAAGGCTTGTCGAAGAGCGAAAAAAACAAAGTCGGAATCCAGTTTTCAATATTACAGACAGTTACGTAATTATTATAATCAGGCTCTCGTTAGTGAGAAAAAAGCATACTTCGATAGGTTTCTTAATAATAATCAAAATAAAACTGGTGTGATGTGGCGACATATCAATAGTTTGGTAGCTCTCTACAAAAAACATAAAATTCCTGACCAATTTTCTGACCCCGATTCCATAAATGATTATTTCATTAACAGCGTACCTAAAAACCAAATAAATAAAAGTGTTCTAGAGGGATTTAAACAAAACACATATACTAATAATGAAACATTTAATTTTATCCTGGTTACAAAAGATACTATAGTGAAAATCATCAATGAATCGACGTCCCATTCGGTAGGCTCTGATGATATATCCATGTTGATGATAAAATTAACTCTTCCGTTTTCCTTGGATGCCATTCACAAAATAGTGAATGCATCACTGAGGAGCGGAGTTTTCCCTGATGCTTGGAAGTGCGCGATTGTAACTCCGTTACCAAAAAAAACAGACATTACAAATTATTCCGATCTTAGACCTATAAATGTCCTGCCAGCATTGTCTAAGGTTGTTGAGAAGTGTGTTCAATTACAAATAATACCCTTTTTAGAAAATAATAATATTTTGCCGGAGATGCAGTCGGGTTTTCGCAGTAGACATAGTACGGTCACAGCTCTACTAAACATAACTGATGATATACTTACCGCTGCAAATGAAGGCAAAGGAACATTACTCACCTTACTTGATTTTAGTAAGGCCTTCGATTGTGTTAGTGTTGAGCTTCTACTGGCAAAACTTAAATATTACGGGTTTGGGCAGGGTGCATGCAGCTGGATTCAATCTTACTTTGAAAATCGCCACCAGATGGTGCGTACAACAATTGATTCGGGAAGGGTAGTCTTTTCGAGTCCCCTTGATGTTGATAGGGGGGTAATTCAAGGTTCTATATTGGGCCCAATTTTATTTGCGATATATACCGCTAGCATAGACAAAATGGTGATCTATTCCAAACTCCATTTATATGCAGATGACAGCCAATTGTACATTCATACGTTACCTTCAGATAGGGAAGTCTGTGTTGCTGTGTCTAGGTTGAACTCGGATATTGAAGCGATTGCTGGTTGGTCGAGAGATCATGGCCTAACGCTTAACTCATCTAAAAGTGTTTCAATTACTTTGGGAACCGTAGCCCAAGTCAAAATAATAAACCAGTATAAACCTTCAATTCGGGTTTTCAAAACACCAGTTCCCCATGAGAAATGTGTAATCAACCTGGGGCTGATGATGGATGAGTCTTTGAGATTTGAACAGCATGTTCGTAGTCAATCTGCAAAATGTTTTGCATCTTTAAGGACTCTTTATAAGATAAGACCTTTTATTAGAAAGCAAACACGCTTGACTCTGTGTAACGCTCTGGTACTGTCTCATTTGAACTATGCTGATATTGTATATATTCCATGTTTATATAAAAAAACCTTAAAAAGTATACAACGAGTTCAAAACGCATGTATGAGATTCTGTTATGCAATACCTAGAAGAAGTAGAATTTCACCGCATTTATTGCAAGAGCGTATGCTCAATATGTCTAACGCTTGTATTCTTAAATATTCATGCTTTCTACATAGACTGTTTCACACTAAGTGTCCACTTTATTTAAGTAAAAAAATTATCAGTAAAAAAATTAACCCTTCTCTAAGGGACAGGGGACCATTATTGCATGTGCCACTATGTAGATTAGCCGGCGCAAGGGGTTGCTTCAAGTTCGCCTCTGCTAAAATATGGAATGATTTACCACCTCCTATTCGTAAAATTGAAGATAATTGCAGTATTAGAACATTTCGTAAATATTGTAAAGAATGGCTTCTTGGACAGCAGTCTCTTGTGTTGGGTCTGGGTGGGTGAAGTGCGTAATTGGGAGTTGTATAGTCAAGTGTCTCGATGTCTTGTATATTACTTGGTACTTGACCTCCAATTTTGTGTAACATAAATTTAGCTTTCTTATTATAAAAATGCAGGAGGTTATTTTGAATTCACTATGTGGTTATGACAGAATAACAGAGGCTGTGGTTGCACTCACAGTCACTGAGTCATAAACCGTTTTGTCTCATTTTTTTATTAAACTTAAAGAATTAAAACTATTTTCAATATGTAAAGATATCTGAGATGAATAAATGATTTTATTATTATTATTATTATTATATGAAAATTTGATTGATTTTCAACCTATTATACCTATGTTTAGATGTTCGAGCGAGCCAGCTATACATGCCATGCAGTTTCTCGACGTCATCACGATGAAAGATCCAAACCAGAAAAGCAACTTTTATCGCACCACTCTTATCGACGCTCTCCCGTATATACCAAAGGTATGTTACGATGTTATCTTTATAAATATTGCCAATATGCGAAAAAATAATAACTGCAGTTGTTATTATTGCAAATGTGCGAATATTTATAACTAAGGTAGTGATAATAAAACCCACTGTTACTTTAAGATCAAGCGCTGAAAAACGAACTAAGTATTATGAATACGTTTTAAATTACAGTTGTATGTTCCTATTGCCCAACTTGTCAAAAATAGCTTTTTAGTATTCGTATCCGAATTTTTACATCGGTGACAAATTTTAAAACTTTCATATTAAACCACTATCAAATTTCACAGTAAAGTTATTCTCAGTGAAGTATCATTAAAGAAAGGAGAAACTTATTTTTATCCATTGAATTGAAAATGTCCACATCAGTCTCGTGACATTTTGAGCCGTGACCTCACATTCCAATAAAACATGAGTACTGGTTGCAACTTTTTATAAATCTTTGCACCATTTCCACAATATTAATACCTGCACAAATTGGTACTTTGTACTCGCAAACAAAGACATGTAATTTATTAAAATGTGAAGTCACACGAGGCTCCGTCATGGCGGCCCGCGTTTTGGTTCTTGTTATCCACAAACTACTTTTAACAAATAAATTTAGCAAAATTAAAATATAACTACAATTTATTTAGGCAACAAATACTAAATAGTTGTTGTTTACATATAAGTTATCATTTCGATTATATTTCATAGTGTATGGGTATAACTATCAAGTAGTTAAGTAGAATTGAGCGCATCAGCCTATCCGCGAAATCTATCTATCATCAGTACTGTAGTCTAAAACTACCTATCAATAATTAAAATTCAATACATTCGGACAGTTCAACAAATCGTCAAGTATCTTAGTGGTACTAATAAGGCCCGTCTACGCCAGTTTTTAACGCCGGAGTGCTAAATGTCAACTAGAATACTTCTCACTCACAGTCTTGCACGCGTAGCATGAATAAATCGAGAAACACTTTGTCAATACTCAAATGTCACTTTCTCGGTTCGAAAGTGAGATATCGTATGGGCGCATCCGAGAAAAGTGACATTTGGGTGTAAAAAAAAACGTTCTCGTATTCGTCATGTTACGCGAGCTCTACCGACTAATCAATAAGGACAATAAAATATAATTAGAACCTATTTCAGTTGGGATTTAGCACTGCAGCGATCAAAACTTCCAAGGTAAACTACCTTATACAAGTATTATTAAAATAAATAAATAAAAAGAATTCCATTATCGCAAACATAGATATTGTTGTCCTTTCCCTGTCTGCAAGATCCTTTAACGTCATTTTGTGAACAAAATCGATCTATGCTGCTTAGTATTTAATAATCTATTAAGTGCTTATTAAAAATTGCTTAGCGATATTTTATCCTTATAATTAATTCATACTAAACTCTGTAACGAAGAATGAATACAGTAGTTAACACTATATAGTACATTTAAGCTTAACAATATGCTATTTATTTTAACAATCTATGTTAATAAAAATAATACAATACAAATATATGTTGTTTAAAAACCTGGCATTATGGATAATAAATAATTCTGAACTGTACTTCGTTATTTTACACATTGCCAGGTTATTATGAATATTGCCATATGGTAATTGTAGCTTTTGCACGGGGCCCGGAGCGGAGAAAAACAGAAAAGGACAGAAAAGGGGAACTTACTCTGATTTTTTTTTATAAATATTTATTTTAATTTAAGTGAGCCACAAAAATAAATATTTTAAAAAATAAACATGTTTTCTTGTTATAAAGTTAAATAAAAGTATAAAATCCATTTATATGTATGATGTAATTTTGATATATCCACAAAACAGACACATAGAGTATATTATCTATGAGATTTTAAACATATCAATAAGACAAGAACAGAATCATCTAACGATGTTGATAAAAAATACAAAAAATTAAGAACCCAGTATTCTGCTTTAAAACAAACAGTTTTATGACCAATCTGACAGCCGCATCTGTCAGATCTTTTTGCTGCAGTGACATCACACTATGACGGGTTGAGTTTCAGATCACGTGATACATATACAAAAACATAACTAGTTATATAAACTTAAAAAGACAATCATGCGTATTTATGACTTAAAATCAAAATATTTATGTAAATTTCAATGTAAATTTTAGTTTTCACTACCGAAACTACACCATTGATTCTTAGAAGCGAATCTTTATAAGAAAATAAATGAATTTAAAGATATTAAAAAAAAAATTATTGGCCAAGTCAATTATCTACCTATCATGAGACCTACATGGATGACACAATTTCCACTATTCAATTCTTAAAAAAGCTGAGCTGATGAAACTACTGAAATAAAAATATTACTATAATAGAGTTTAGACCAATTGTATCATAAAATCTTTGATGATTTCATAGATAGAACATTTTTTATATCTATTCCTTTTTATTTAACTACTTAATATTTTGAATCAATGCCGCTAGAAAAAAAATCCAAAAGTATGTAAATAAAAAAAAATGAAATCAAGTGGTATTTTGAAATATAATTATTTTTAATGAAATAATTACAATACGCAATAAAACTTTTGTCTTCTTAAATATATGAACCGTAAGTTTGTCTCGAATATCATATTATTGATTAATCACAGGTTTGGAATTTATAATTTATTCATGTTTTTTATTAGAGGTTTTAAGCGAATACGAAAATAGCACGAACGCGGAAAATTTTCCACAGTTGTAATTTGTATGTATGTTATTTTTTTATTAATGCGCAAAATAGATAAAATTAGAAAAAGGACATTACACATACTATGCATACTACCAGAGTGAACGAACACTACTATGCGTTTGAAATTTTGAATATCAAACATATCGAATTTCGATCAAGCGGCCACTAGTCATCATTTATCTTCTAGTCTTCTTTATATTTTAATTCGTCTTTCATTATTCGGCCGGCATCACTGAATGGTTTCATAATTTGTTATTCAATGTTTTTATTGAGAGGATCATAAAATATAATATTTACCAATTTGTGACTCAAAGCAAAGCTAAACATTTAAATGAGAAAAAACGTGTGTTTTTTTTATTTTTCAGTGGAAAATTTAAGAATATCCCTTGCTTTGCGAACTACTAGCTTGTAATAAAGTATTTTCAGTGAGTACATCCAGAGAACGTGTTCGTCGATCGGCCCCTCGAAGTCAATCCGCTATATACCCTACAGTGTACCTTCTCCTGGAGGATGAGAGGCTGCAAGCTGAAAAACCTTACAAAATCCATCGATTGGTTGCAGAAACTGCGCTGGCAGCACGTATGGCCTGCCCTGCAGCTAGAAGTGCGCACAGCTGAAGTGTTAGCGGCAGTACTACAGCCTATCATTTGGCTCACTAATGAAGCTACTCAAGAAGAGTTCACACATTATGTCCTGCCGACCCTTAAGTAAGTTAGCCATCAACAACTTGTTAATCGACGCTAGAAACGAACACGTTTTAATCGACAAAACCAAAATTGTTTACCAAACAAGAATAAATTTTAATTCTAACTACATTTTAATTGACCTAGATATTACAATTTTTATTACCGGCTGTTTATAAGTTGTTTTTAGGAAAAATAAAATGTTATTCTTCTATTTATTTTTGCGGGTTTCTACGTGTTTGCGTTCTTACATCGATATGTATAACGACAATAACTTTTTATAATTATCTATCTATATTATGTTTATTTGAATCCCTAACGTTAGTGGTAGTAGGCAATAAGGACTGAGCGCTCCATGGCACGATCCTTGCTTACATATTTTGCCCGCTCGAATACAAATTCTACTTAGCTATTCACTCAAATAAGCTTGCGAATATTTTTAGATTCTTGGCTACGCGAATTAAATATTGTGTTATATATTTATCATATTTAAAATACACACTATGAACAAAACGGCTATATTACAAAAATAGGCGTTTTTTCAGGAATTTAATGAATTCACCAAAAAGCGTTCAAGCGTCGGTAACTATTCTAGAAAATCTTCATGTAATTTTGAAGAAGTGTCATAGGGAAGAGATAAACAATGAAATCATGCCGCTTCTATACAACGCTCTGGATAATAACACCAATCAAATACAGGTATAGTGCACTTCTAGCCTGATACCGTCTAAGTCAACTTTTTCACACATTTACTTTCCTAAGTTGTAAAAGTTCACTAGGCGGTAGGTAGGTATATGACATGAATATTTATTAAACAAATAATTGTAACAGTCAATGTTTCAGTTTAATAATTTTCAATACTACAATTTTTTACTACAATCGATGAAGTTTAAGATGTGAAATTAATCTACATCAATCTCTTTGCTGTTCCATCTTATATTCTATTTTTCTTTATACATACTCTTGGCGAAATGTTTTTTGTGCAAAGTAATCGAGTCACCACCTGTGCTATCCTTTATGGCAAATACATTTTTGTGGCGTTTAAAAATATATGATACGTTGTGAAAAACTGAAGTGGGGATAAGTAAACTCGGGGTTTACATTAAGGAGCAGTCGCCTTGCGAAAGGTTATGGGTTCGAATCCCATATCGAGCACCTGATGCTGGTGAATTTTTTGAGCATTTTCTTAAGAATAAATCTATACAGAATTTTAAATGCAAAATTGATCAAATATCAAACCGACTCAGAATTTTTGTGAATCGCAACTGGGACGTCTTGTGCGTTTTCACTTACTAGTGGAAATATCTTGGTTGTAATAATGGCATATTTTGTATAAATTTCACGACAAAATACTAGATCATAATAAAAAATACATTTTAAAAGCTCATAAACTAGTTATCAATCTGAAAATATACGTCAATCTACAATTAAAACCTAATCTATGTTCTTGTATTTTCAGACTGCTTCACTCATTGCTATGCAAAACGTATCCGATTATATTGAAGATAAAGCTCTACATAGCACTGTATTAGCAAAAGTGAAAGTCCTTTTAGAGAAAAACCAGAGTGATGTCAAAATCATTAGTCTAATCTTAGGATTTTACGAGAAGATACTTTTGCGTCTCGAAAGAAATCATATCCTAGAACAAGTCATACCGACTCTTCTTAGCATGAGACTCAGTGACCCGGACATCATCAATCGTGTAGTCAGTGAGTACTTATTAAATTTTAACGCACCTCATTAATTAGCAATTCAAAGCGATTGTGTGATATATTGTATTAGAATACTATTGATTTCAAGGCGATTGTGCTAAATTTATTTTATTGTCTGCCGATGTCTTTGTTAACAAAGCGAGTTGTTACTGCGAAGCGACTATTGTTACACTTGATCTGCTTTTCTTGAACAATCAAATGTGGCCGCTTATTACAGAACTTTACAAATCGATGCTTCTGGAGAGGAAATTTGGTTTAACGACCAACGTCATGGCTACAAAGATGATTCCATCATTGGCACCACAGACTGTGAATCCTGCTTTGAACGTTGACCAGTTTACTAACCTAATGGAGGTAGATTATTAATATGTTGTCACATAGTACCCAAAAGCTGCGTATAGTATAATATTTGTAAAGATCAGTGTATAAAATGTAACTCTTATTTACTAAAAACGCATAGGATTGAAGTTTTTAATAATTACAAACTGAACTTTAACTAGCACAATAAACATTCTCAGATCTTATACGACATGCTGGATAATATCGACAAGAATCAGCGGTACAAATTGAAGCTTGACAGTTTGTCGCTGCCGAGTCCTGAACGCCATCGTCCACTACGTCACCAAATGAGTACAGATAACATGAATGTACCACCGTTCAACATTCCTAACTTGCGAGTCGAGCAACGCAAGACCTCTAGTGCGGAGGACATGGCTCGAAAGAATTCTGTCACTGCTGCAACTGCACCCACTGGCAGCGTTGGAGGAGGTTTCAAGAGTAAGAAAATACTCATGAAAAAAATAAATTCTAGTTTCCCTCTCAAAAATCGATGATTTTTATTTGTATTGTTTTGTATAATTAACCTGATAAATACCTAATAATCTTCTGCAAACATCAACTGATGTAAATAAATTGTTAAAATTACTTCCCGGTCAATTCTTAATAGAGTACACATACATTTAATCGTAGTATATGATTTATTTTTTTATTTTATTTTTTAACCTAAGTAACGCGGTGCTTATAGCTGTAGTAGATTAAATTGATAATGGTTATAACCATCATTATAATTACAGGCACAGGAATTGGCCAATGGTTCTTCGGTTCCAGTAATTCTACTAACAACGATAACAATTTCTTGCGCGTTGCAAGCGCCTTCCCCAACCGTCGTCTCTCAGACAACACCCTGATGACTCCTAAGATCCGCATCGCTCCATCATGTGCCTCATCTCCGGGAGGAACACCGGGAGGTAACTCTGGATTACCGACACGTCGCCATTCCAGTATTGGTCCACAGGAACGTCGAGGATCAGCGGTTAACTTATCGCCACCTACTGTAAGTGAAATCAATTCCAATATTATTTTATATGTCCCTTAGTATAAGTTCCTTACACTTACACACTGACAACACAACAGCTTTAAGTTTTAAATTGAACCAACTCAAGACTGTGGGGAGTGCGATGATTTCGTGGACACTTGAAGTGATGAAACGGACAAAGGAGTGTTTTAAGTGTAGTGACGGTAGTTATTTTGGCAGGGCTACCAGTTCAGGGGACGAGGCGGGTCAGGCTCGAGCCTTTCCGTGCCGTCGGCGTCACAATGCGTCGTAAGTGATGTTCAACGACTACGACATCCTGGCTGCGTGAAATTCCCGAACCCTCTAGTGAATGTCGACTTGGAACGGCTTGAGATTGATGTGATCTATTCTTCTACGGTCGCGTCTTGTTCCCAAACCGACTGGGAGAGATAGTGTTTCTTTGTTCACACCATCACCATACACATACATCTGCACGAACCTGGTTGGCGTTATGTTACAGCGACCTATCTCTATCTGAATCATTAGACCTTTCATCGCATCACATTAACGCTATTACTTCCTGCGAATCTACTAACACTGGCATAACCTTCAAGAACGAAGAAGTGGTGCATGTTCGTACTGTACTGTGAAAAACTGCGTTGCATGATTATCTTACCGACTCGAATGTGTCCATAATATGTCGCGGAAGGAGCATGGAAACAAACTTCTTCCGGCCCCTGCCAAATGCTAACGTAATGTTGACTGCGAATGTGCACCAGCGGTGGTCCATCTTGGTTTTGGTGTTGTTTTCCAAATCTTCTTGAAAAACATCATTGGATATCATTCGATTGGTACAATTAAAACATAATATTGTAATTATTTACAAAAATTATTAATTTTCTAAATTTTAACAATATAAAAATGTAATAAAGACCACTGATGTTCCTTCTTTTATAGTTAACATGTTTGCGCTATAATGTAGTTAAAAGCGATAATAGTTTTAAATATTTATTGTTAAATGTCATAATGATAAGCGCAAGGAATATGTTCACCTCTTCATATCATTTAAGGCTGTGAGCCTGTACGTTAAACGCTATCTCATTTACTGTTGCTATTTGTTCTTCTACGCAGCTTGCACGGAGCATGATCGTGAGTATGGTTCCTCTCTTACATGTATGTCGTCGCCAACAGCGCGGACACAGACTTACTTCCGTTTCGCTGTTATCATACAACTGTCATTGTTTAGAATAGCTGCACTAAGATGTTGCCTATAACATTTTAAACTCACTAGTAATCACTTGCCATTCGTTGATGTCATTGTCGGCAACATCTCCGTACAATAATACTGAATTTGTAGTGTAGCAAATACCTACTTCTGAACCACATGAAATTTCATAAGCCCACCACGCTTTAAATGCTGATAATATGTACCTATTTTAAAGCATGCAAGTAGTTAAAGCCTACCCTATCGGAACGATATGGATATGGTACATTATTCTTATTATATTTTATCGAATTAGTTTTATATTAAACAACATGAATGTACAGTTTATGATAATAAGTTAAACATACCAAAATAATAAATTTTACTCTTCATAACCGTCAAATTTAGGCCTATTGAGACCTCCTAGGATAGAATGGCTGTTTTCATAGCTTTCTTTTTATGCAAATGAAAGACTTGCACGCGATTTGGATTGAAATTAACGTTTATATGATTGCATGCACTTAGGGAGGTTCAATGCCGAACACATCGTCGAGTGTACCATTCTTGCTGACGTCATCGATGCAGTCGATCCGCTCGCGGCGCCCATCCGCCTGCTTGAGCAACTCTCAAGGTTCTGGACTACTGCAACAGCTGAGCAGCGGCATGGTAAGGCACCTGCCGGTCGGCTCACATTCTCATAGCAATGCGAACCATCCCGCACCTCATTGGAGCGCTCTGCAAGGCCTCCAGGGCGCCACTGCCGCTGGTTACAACGCGCTCCAGCACACCGCGATGGCCGTCCGGAAATGCCCCTCGCTCAATATAACACTCACGCGCTAAACGCCCACGCCACTTCCGCCACTCGCGACCCCCGAAGAGACGCACGCACCTAGACGTTTCCTCCTCGCGACTCTTCGCCGGTGCGCAGGCGTGCCACTCAGTCTGCCGATGGTGATCCCCGTCCGTCTCCCCTATATTCAGTAGTTTTATTACTATTGGTGTTGTAACATTAGATTTATTTGCGTCTACTTTTTCAGAATTATTTGATCGACACGCTCCGTTTGTGGAGTTTTTTTTTCTGTTACATTAATAACAAATAACGATTTTTTCTGTTCGATTATTGTTTTGAGATGTATGCCAGCAAAGGTATGAAAAAGGGATATTGTAAAGCTTTAATCGGTACAATGTGGACATATCACTTCCTTCGTCAAATTCAAAAAAAAAATATATGTCCAATGTACTTAAAATAAAAAGTTTAATGAAAGTTTTAAGTAACGATAGCGAATTGTTACCAAATGGTAGTATTATATACAGCAAATTGTTGTATAGTGGTGCTGTGATATGGTATTGTTATATTTACTAGATACTACTATAAAAATTAATAGCCATTTAATTTCCTCTGTTATCATATTGAAAGTTAAAATATATTAATAAATATTATCACGTATACTTAAAGCCATTGAGATATCATTGGCAATAAAATTTTATAAAAATATGCCAAAAGATATTCTCTAAATTATTAAATAAAAAAATACGTAAAGTTTGTTGAACACTGTTGAACTATTAAATATATGTTCAAACATACGTAGAATCTAGGAATATATAATGGTGAAATGTCCTCTATGATGGTTAGAAAGATACACGTATAATTAATGACACTACACTTGTAAGTGTTTGATACGTGCATATAGTGTTAACACAATAATTAAATATCTATAAACTGTGACAAAGAAATAGGTTTTCTCTTAATTATACTAAATTATTTTTGTCACGAATAGTAAGTACAAAATATATAATTTTATTATATCGATATACACTCATAACTTTTACATTTACACTTTAGCTTGTATTTAGTTATAATTAATGAATGTAGATAATTAGTCCTCTGGTTCCTTCAAGATTGTGTCACAAACAAAATCCTGGCTCGTTATACGCGAATAAGCTGAATTACCCCGCAAGGTACGTATTTAATTTCTTCTTAATCATATTCATCAAACTCATTCAAATTGAAAATACCATTCACCAAAATTGTGGGATATTAAATATGAGTGGATATCTCGTTATAAACCACAATGATCAAAAACTCTAGTAATTAAATTTTGCAGATCGGCATCTTATTCACAACAGCTCGAAAACACCTCTTTAGTTAGCACATTTTTCTTGGCGGATTCTATTGCCACATGCAGGACCGCGAGCATGCAACATACAAAGAAATATTCTGTAAATTAATTGCCGTTCGTTACGTGCCGTATTCAACGTAGTCATAATTATTTTCATGATAATATTCAAATTTAGGAAATAATAAGGCAAGAGTGATGCAAATCAATACAAAATATTTGTTAATAAGGTAGGTGGCCGTGCGCAATTCATATTATTCACGTAGATTTAGTAGTGTTTCAGTCAGTTCTAAATAGTCGCTTTGCACGCGCTTGTTTGGCGGTAATGAATTACAATAATCATTGAGGAATTACTTGATAAACCTGTAGTTGATCCCGAACATGAGTGCTGTGACTCGGGATATAGTACGTAGAGCTTGGTAGAGTAGTAGAGCGAGGGGGCGGGGCGCGCGGCCGGCGGCGGCGGCGTCGGCGACCGCGGGCTTGGCCTCGCACGCGCTTTATTTTAATCACCTTTTTGTGGTTGCTTGCAGTACCAGCTGTTTTCCGGGCGTACATAAAGAGAAATTTGATTAACGTTAGAGCGTGTAGCGTAATCAGAGTACGAGCCGGCGCAAGCGACGCGCAGAGTGACGCGCCCGCGCACACACACCGCCCCCGTGCCGCCGCTGGCCGCTCGACCGCCGGCCGCTCGCCGCCGCGTCACACGTCCTCGCTCGACGCTGCTCGCGCTCTCCTTACACGAATGTCCATGAGCTTGTAAAAATATTGAGCAAAGCGATACCGAACGTAGATTCGCAGTCGTATTAGTTACCTACGCATCGGCCTAACGTTGAGTGTAACATTCCAATAAAAACATACTGACCGTGGAAAAGGGGAACACTAAAGTGTTTGGAAATTAGTAAGAATGCAGTGCATGCTGTCTGACTTTTTGTTGATACACGTTTACTACCATATTACCTGATGGTAATGTCTTAAGCCATTGAATGATTTGTTGATTTTACGAATATTGCAACTTTGCGTCGTCATCACCACTCTGTAATCGTTATGCTATTCTGTGATATTTTTGATAAGATTACCCGTGAGGCAATAATTATCATTATATTATATTAGGCGAGTCTCACACGCAACTGCACACTGAAGTGGCGGGTGGAAAGAGCGAACAGAAATATTTTCTGTGCCGACTGAAATAAAGTGGCATTATCTAATCCATGTATATAATGAAGTTTTCTTTGTGACAATGATCAGGTTTCGTACATTCTACATCTTGTTTGTTGCGTTTACACGTTCTAATTAAACCCGTGACATTCTTCTTCACATCTTCACTTTCTTAAATAACAAGTGAAGCACGAGTGATAAAATATCACTTACAACAATAAATGCTCAACTTTTTTTGACTACTCCACCATCGCCTAGACACTCGGTGTAAACCATGTGAGATTCACCTCATTCTTTGTCGGTATATGGTATCATTCGCACTATCATGCACTTCTCACATAATTATCGCTTTTATGCACTACGTTAATACTTTAGACTGGAACGTATTATCTAACGTATAGTATCTGTAATATTTTAAAGTTCTAAAACAGTGTATACTTTTTAATTAAAGTAGAGCTTAATTTGAACTTATTGCGGAGGTTCAACATTTTATTGATTGCTTATCGAAATTTATCGAAAATCTTGAGGGAATCATCTTATTTTATTTTTGTGTTATTTTGTAACATTTGCAAAGCAACACGAAAAATATATTGCGTAAAACTGCCAGTCTTATTCTTATAATCGTCTTTAAGTTGTGAATTGATCTATTCTTTGTTAGGGTCATCAGCTTGAAATAATTAAAATGTATTTAATATATCTCATTCGACGTAGGCACGGCAAATCTTTTGAACCAGTCGTAAAAAAGGTGCCAAACTCGTAATTATTACTTTAATTAGAATATAATATAATTAAAAGAAATAAGTTGGTCTGAATGTATTTGCCTGTCTCTCTCTCTCTCTCTCTGCGAATAATTTTGATAATCACTCTCGTCGGTCCTAATGCTGACTATTCATGGTACCTATTCGCGATAAGAAACACATACGTTATAGAAAATCAACATATATAAACAGCTAAAAATTATACAACAAAAAGAAAAACTGATTTTATCACAAACAAGAAGATAAATAAATATAAATATCATGTTATATTTCCATTCACACTTCTCGTTTAATTAATAAAACAGGGTAACAGTTATCACCAAGCCTGAAAATATCCAGGAAATCTGAAAAAAAGCTAACAAAAACATACCATAATAATGAGTCATTTCAAAAGTTTTTAGATTCTTTGTTTTTATTAATCTTTTACGTATTCAAAAAGTGTTATGTAAAGTTTACATAATTTCACTTTTTTTGTTTTAGGTGCATTTATATGGCAATTAGTCCATAAACATTGATTGAAGTGCGAATTTCCGTTAAACTTTAGTGTTATAGAACAATAGAAATATTACAGACTTATAGATCCATGTATTTGTAAAAGATAAAGAATGAAGGAAGTGCATACCCTAAAATTTAATCTTAATTGGTCTAAAACCAGTACACAATTGAAATAGAAATATATACATGGAAAAGATGGCTTTAAGGCTAAGGTAGCAATTTCTACCAGAAAACGAAATGAAAAATGTTCTTAATTTTTTTATATGAAAGTTAAATTTATGCAAAAAGTGACTAATGCTCTAATATCAAATTCTATCTCTCTAATTCTATATCAAATCAATTTATGGAGTTATGAAACGTTTAAAGTCATAATCCCTTTCGGAACAAATAATGATTTAAATGATCAAGACACATTAAAAACTTAATTGAGCTCGTCAAAAGATTGCGGTTAGTATTCGACTCTTTCTTTAAACATTTCCTTAGATTTGAAATACATTTGCGTGTAACGCCTACTTTAGATAATTCCAATTATCGTCGTGTTAACGATATGTCTCATTCAGCGTCTTTCTAAAAACGTGTCGATCTATTACCTATTACTTATCAAATAGCGTGAAGTCTGTCAATTGAAAGGGATTGCGACAGATTTTAAAATAAGACAATTAGGCTCCATGTTTTCTCACAAAGCTCACACCTATAATTCAATATAACATCTAAAAATTACGATTTTGAATTTTTTATCGATCCAATTATTCCAATTGAATATCTCTCTACATAAAGCATTTATCAAATCGAATAGACTACGAAACTATTAGGCCAATTTAAAAAATTCCATATTTTATCCCGAATAATAGCAAATAAAAAGATGAAAATGGGAGTGGAAGTTGATATGGGGAATTAAAACGTTACCACAGTTACCATTGTTTACTATTATGTCATTGTAATTATATCGATATCATGATATGAATCGATATCCAAATAAATAGTTCCCTAGGGAACACGCGGGCAAATCCGATGGTGGAAAACTAGTATATTATATATTTCTGCCGTATTTAATTAATGTAATTAATACAAATGGTTTTCTTTAATAGTGTCGTTGTCTTTCGTAGTATGACCTTACTATGAACGTCGAAAACAAACGATACGCTCGACTATGTCCATTGTAATAAATCATCCCCGTGCTAAGTACAACTGGTCGTCTTTCAACAACCTCTTCTGCTTAAATACCCACCTATGTATGATATAACACCATTGATGAATTTTTAAAATCGGCGCATTAGTTTTGGAGTCTCTTCAATGCACATAAACAAATCAA